GGGCTCATGATAGTACTAAAAAATATTTAAAGTCAGAGTCTTCACTGAACTCTATAAATTATTCTGAAAAATGATAAAAGGAAATAATCAAACAGTTATGCTGTCATTCCTGTAGCAAAGAGTTCAAATAGGTGATAAGAGACTTCCAGGAGATAAATGCAGAAAGATACCACATTTCACAACCCCTAACAAGATAATAAATCTAGGCAATAGTAAATAAAAGATGTGAAAGCCGTTAATGAAAGGGAATTTTATAATGAAAGAAGGCTGACAACACCTGAAATCACTAATCAATCTTAGCATCGCAAAAAGTAGGACAACGAGGTATTATGTAACTCTGGTGGAAAGGATCTACACAGCAACATCTATAGAAAGTATTTACTTAAAAAGAAAACCGAACCTGAATCTTATAATCTAACTGCCAGTTTTCAGGAAACAAAGAATAAATCCAAGTGGTGGTTCTCAAACCTGAGCATCAGAATCACCTGGAAGAGGCCTTTTAAAACCGACTGCTAGGAACCAATGAATTAAAGGAAACCATAAGGAAGCAAACAGCCAAACAGAAAATGTGGGAAATTCTATAGGAAAAACCACCCAGTTTCAATAACAAACGGGTTAAGAGGCTCTAACAATAAAAATGACTGAAGCAACATAACTATAGATGCACTTTGCAGACTTAAGATTCTGATTCAAACAAACCTATTCTTAAAAGACATCTTGAGACAACTGAGAAAGTTTAAATATAGATTAACAATAGATGATATTAAGGAATTTGTTAGCTATAATAAATAATTGTTAACTATAATATAATACCTATATTTTTTTAAATAACCTTACAGAAAAAAATTTTTTTTTTGAAGATCAAGGCTAGAGACTGCAAAGCCACACCATACAGGGTCACTTTAAGGAGTTTTGGACTAAACTGAATGGTTTTACACTAAGCATGAAATCATCATAGTAACAACTTCTGTTCCTGAAAGCTATGTGCTAAGCACTGCATTAAGTACTTCACATGACTTATCTCTTTGAATCCTTAAAATGACTCTGTAATGGAAATATTAAATGTTCTATCATTTTGCCAGCTGATCATGGTCAGAATTTGTATATTTTTAAAGGATGAAGTGTTAAAGAGTAGTGTGGAGAAAGGCAAGAGTGACAGCTAAGCAATTAAGAGGATGTTGCAACAGGTTAAGAATTCCTACTACGGAAAACAAGAGCAAATGTTCATGCATTAGAAATAAAACAAAAACAGAGGTATTGTTTTTGAACAAAATATGAATTATTTCCTGCATTTAGCTCCAAAAAAACTATTTTCACCAAATCACACCTTTTTCCAAGAATTTTATTTTTAAAGCCATCATCTTATAATTTATACTGCAGTTACTAGACTTAATTCTTACTCTACTGGAAAACAGCTTTATGGAAAAAAATATGAAGTGCCATCTTCTCCTAGAAAGCATCTTCTTTCCCAGATTCTTTAAAACATGAAAACAAATTATTGTTTCAATTCTATAAATGAATGAAATAACATCCTCCCTGTATAATCTTCACCTTCATCTCCAGCTCAAAAAAGCTTAGATAAGAAAAGCATACAGAAATCTGTACAGTAAAGGTCTTAGGAGTCAAGACTGAAGGGAAGGGGGTGATCCCCAAACACCTTTCCCAGTGGGGTTGTGGATAAAGTGAAGGTTCCTGTGGACAGGATTCTCACCTGGCCCTGGTTGGCTTGCTCACTACATACACGGGGACAATGCGTTGTTACTGACTCTATATAAAGAGATCTGCCCAGTGCTCTGGGCGACACAGTGGCATGGTTGCACGGCTGCAGGAAAGCAGAGACTGGAGTGGTGGCAGCGCCCAGGACAGAGACTGAGTCCGCTGCAGGGGTAGAGAGGCCCAGAGGCAGAGAGCAGTTTGCTGCATGCAGAGTCGCTCTGAGTGGACAGGCTTCTAGAGACTAACCTGCCACGGTGGGAATAAAGTTGGGTATAAACCCTTTCACCTCAAGAATGTTCCATTGTCATTTTTCAGCTTCACTGAATCCATAGTGAACTTGCTCAGGGATGAAACCCACTGGAAAGACAGGGGTCCATGAATGACAATACTGAAAGGCTCTTAGAGCTTCTTTATCAAAAATTTCTCCTAACCTAAAACCCGACTGTGATTTATCACCACTGGGTCTTGTATATTGCTTACTCTAGGAAGTGACTCTTAAGAGGCTGAGCTATACTTAGTTGCCAATAACTAACTCGGTCCAAGCCTGATCTAACTACTTCAGCTGACTAAAACAAACCAAAACCAAAAAGGAACTCTAGAAAAGAAAGCATGGTATACTGGGATGAACACTAAATTTTAGTCTATTCAAAAGAAAAAAAATTACATAAAGACATGCTGAAGATCATTTGTTTTAGGGAAATGCAAATTAAAAATTAAGATACCAGTACACCCACTTAAATGGCTATAATCAAAAAGACTCAAAAATGGTTTAACAGAGTAAATTTTGTTAGGTGTTTTTCACAACACACACAAAAATTAATTTTAAAAAATTTGACTAACAAAATCGGGTATTTATTAGAGAGAATGCGGCACAATTGCAACCTTCATACACTGCTAGTGGGAATACAAAATGGTACAACTACTTTAGAAAAACTTGGCAATTTTTTGAAAAGTTAAGCACACACTTAGCATATGACCCAGCAATCCCACTTGTAGATATCCACCCAAGAAAAATGCAAACATATGTCTGCAGAGATTTGCACACAAGAGTTCACACAGTAGCACTGTTCATTACAGCCCAAATCTGGGAACAACCCAAATGTCTGCCAACTGGTGAATCCAAAGAAATTGTGGTATACCTATACTACTGATTAATGCAACAACATGGATGAAATGTCAACATCATCACTTTTAATTAAGATATACCAGACACAAAAGATGATAAACAGTATCATCACACTTATATAAAATTCTAGAAAAATAAAAACTTTTGTTATTAGAAAGCAGATCAGTAACTGCCCTGGGTGAGGAGGAGTTAAAGACTGGATGCAAAAGGGCATGAGGGAACTTTCTGAGTGATGGACGTGTTCTAAACTTCATTGGGGTGGTAGATACATGACTGCATATATAAAACAAAATTCATAGAACTATGTGTTAAAATGGCTCAATTTTATTGTATGTAAATTATAGTTCAATGAAGTTGTTCAAAAAGAAAAGACCTGAGTTAATTAGATCTGTAAGTTACTAGCATATGTTAACCAGTTTTCATTTCTCACATGTACACATTTTATTTTTTTAAAGCAATCACTTCTATATTCCACTGCAGTTCTTGAAGTTACACATAATTCTTCCTTCTACTGGAAAAGGGTCACATATTTATCTATACTGCTACTTACCCTATCTCACAAGGTGATTGTGAAGTATAACAAGATAACTAATGAGAAAGTGCTTTAGCAACTCTAAAGTACTGTCACACAACTATATGGTAGACCTTACATTTTTAAAAAGTAGACATGATAATGTTTTTACACATGAATGACTTGAGACGATTGGAAACTTGAGCACCCCAAATCAATCTTTGCCCAGAAACAGGTAGACTATTCAAATGTCACCTTTTTAATCTCTCTCCTGAACCCACTTTCTACTGACTCAATTTAATAGATGGCTCAATGTAGTATTATCTAAACTGCGCTTGCATTTTTCAAAAAACAGAAACTAAAGAAATGTTTAAAGAAAATCATTAGATAAGCATGGCAAGAATACTCCCAGCGGGAAAGACCAAAACCAAGAAAACCGTCTCTTAAGCACTTTTCCAAGATGTTCACAACTGAGATTTTTCTTCCTTTAAAAGTCAAATTTCTTTCCATTTAATACTTCAGTTCCACTACTGAACGTTTACTAAAATGACCTGCATTAGTAACAGAGGGTGAATAATCTTAAGAATATCAAAACCTTTTAAACCAGTGTGGTATAGTCATTTCACACTTTTGCCTGCTGCAAAATTTAACATACTCATTTTTCCTACTACAACGGTACAGCTGGGCGCTCTGCTATCCTACCAGGTTTGAGTGATATCTGACATTTAGCCTAGTTACATTTACACGTTTCCACACCACAAGTAGGAAAGCTGTTTGGGCGACATAATCTATTCTTCAAATGCAATTTGTTGACTAAATTTTACTTTGAGTTCAGGTTTCTTTCATATTACGTCTTCCAATTTTAGGAAGGTTTTCTACAAGCAACAGGTACCACAACCAAAAATTAACAAAGCCTGTATAATACCACAAAATCTTTTGCTATCGTTTCCAATTTTAGGAATCTCCTTCTTGGTAACAGTTCTAAGGGGATGATTCTATGGTCAATTCTATGGCCATGCTTCATTTGATTCGGTCCTGCTTCAGTCCGGTCAGTAGTATCCATAATCCTCTTAGGTTTCACATTTCTCCTTCGATAACATTAAGGCCGCTTGGTTCGGTAACTGCACACCTCCAATTTGTTTCCAAGAAACCTGAAAGAACGGCACCTTGCCTACTAGGTCCTCCAGCCAGAATTCTACACTCAGAAGGTTAGCCAAAACGTGCCGCACTACCAAGCAAGCTGGAATGGAGCACCCAGAGGGCGACTGGTCGCGGGGAGGAGGGGAGAACTCCTCGGCCTGGAGAACGGCAGCTGAGGTCCAAGCCAGTCCGCGCCCAACTGTACTCGCCACCAGGAAGGCGTGCAGACCCTACAGTGAGGCCTCGGTGCTCCGTTCGGAGCAGCAGAGTCACGCGTGGATACTGAGCAAGACGTAAACAAACGACCCCACGGCGGGGAAAGAGGCCCCCGCGGGAGAGGGGAGGCGGAGTGGGGAGAAAGGACCTCGCCCCAACCCTCCGGCGCAGATGCGAAGCTGCCCGTCCCCTCCCGACCGCGGCCCAGGTTCAGCCTCGGCCCGGCTGCCTCGCGGACGTGAACACAGAAGACCCCAGCACATCTGGGGCGCCGGTTCCGCAGCCCCCTACCTGAACGCGCAGTCCGGGTCTCGCGCCTCCCGACCGGGAGCGCCCACCCCGTTCCTCTTGCTGAAGAGCTTCTGGAACAGCGTAGGGGCCATGCTGGCCACGGCAGGCTGGGGTCGCTCCTTAGAGCGCTTGCTAGGCCCCCGCTCCTACAGCCGCCCCGCCACCCCCATGGGCGCCTCAGTCATATGACAGAAATTAGTCACTTCAAACGGCCACGGCGCGCGGGGCGGGGCGCGAAGCAAGGCGCGTGCCTATTGGCTGGCGGCGAGCCGCATCACGTGGCGGCGCGCGGACCCCGGGGCCAGGCGGGGGCGGGGGCGGAGCCAGCGCCCATAGGCTGGAGACTGGGTTCCCTCACGTGGCAGCTCACGGGGCGGGGCATGCGGGAAGAGGAGCGGCGCGGAGAGGTGGTTGGTGTTGTGCCGGTTAACGCGCCCGGATCCCGGTCCTTCTCAGTGGTGCTGTGAGCTGCTATCTGAGCTTCCGGCTCGTGGGCGCACAGGGGGACGACATCCGTGACCCGGAGTGTAGAAGCCTTCGGCTTCCGCCACCCACGATAAAAAGAGATGCCTAGAACACCACGGGCGAACGACGTTCCCGCGCCATCCCCTCCTCAGTCCCTGCGGCTTCGCACCTGCGTGGGGCGGCCCCCTGAGCAGAGGAGACCCGGGAGCGTACCCGTGGGGCCACCGCACAACCTGGGCTTTAAGCCGGGGCCCCAGGCCAGCCCGCGCCCGGCCCGAGAGGTTTGGCCCGGCCCCAGAGCTGTGTCACAGGGTCTGTTAGACACCAGCCATAGCCATGACTCCTAGTAGAGACTACCTGGGCCTGGGCCGGCGAGCAGCCGCCTGCAGGGTTTGCGACTTGGCCCCTGGAACCCTGACGCAGGGTATTAGCCCTTGGAAGAGTCAGCAATACGAGGCTCAGGATGTAGGCTCAGACCTAATGTCTAGTTCTGAAGGGAGAGATGAACTGGAACTGTAAACAAATGGATTGGTAGGAGAGAAACCACTTTGTAAATAAGAAAAACGTTGCTCACAAATTACCTTATGGTCTTATTAAACCCAGAGAGCCAAAATTTATCGGGATTCAGATCAAATTGGTCTTACAAATTTTCAGCACCCTCACTCATTCACCCACGCCCCCTCCAGAATGAACAATTTTGTGGCATGGGATGCAGTTCTTTGACAAAGCAATACTTTGGAAATGACTGGAATGTGATTGAAAGGTTAAAGAAGTACTTTTGGAATTTTATTTAGGCATACAGACCAAACTGTCTTAGTAGACAGTGGCTACCTACTCCACTGATTTGCAACTAGAGTTTAAGCTATAAAATAAGTGGTCTTCTATAGAAAAGGGGTAAATAAATAAATAAACAAATAAATATAAACACCTGGGAATTTCAGTGGTCAACATGTTGTTTCAATGATACAAGATTAAAGCACTATTTGTATATGAATAAGAATGTATTCATTCTACAAATGTTTAAGTGCCCTTGGTCACTGGGCAAAGTAAACAGAAAAAGAGCTTTATGAGGAGACGGTAAATAATTATTTTCAGACTAGTGTTCTGAATGAGAACTAAGCAGTGAAATGAGGGGGTTGGGAAGGGCTCTCCAAGGAGGTGATATTTGAGGTGCTCAGGTTAAGGTTCATTCTAAGTTCCTCTTTATATTGCCCAAACTCCAGAAATTACTGGGCAAAATAGAGGCTCAAAACAGCAGGACTAGGTAAACTATAAACTTAAATAATGCTCTGGATTCTGGTGCCACACCCTGCAAGATTTCTAATAAGGCAAAGTGAGCTATGTGTATTTTTCTCACAAAACATGAACACAATGAAATTTTTATAAACAAAATGAAGTCAATGCAATATTTTTAAGTGAGAAAATGCACATCCTATAAATCAATCAATGCATCAATCCTTTGGGGAAGTTTTGTTCTCATTACTAGCAAGTTACACTAAATGAGTGTGCATGAAAACATAAAAACTTGTGTATATAGGACTGAAGACACTGAGAACTCATGACTGGCCCATGGCTGGCAAACAGTAGAGTAGTTCTAACTCCCTTGAAGGAAGTTTCTAAATACAATAACCTTGTGTGCTTTCATCTTGGGGAAATGTCACTTCATAGGTAATTATTAATAGCAAGAGAAAGAACATTACAGCTTGTATAAGAGATACTTTGTTTTAGTATTCTCTAATCATGTAACCACTTCATTTCTGTAGTCTTTTTTTTTTTCCTGTAGTCTTAATCTTATACTTGAAAGGTACAGAAAAAACTCTATTTACTGGCTATCATCACATTTCCTTTATGTTGCAATGTGATATTCAAAAAATTAGAATACTGAAAAATACAAGTTTTTCATAAGAGAGGACATATATATAAAAAAAGAGAGGACATGTAATTATATTTGATTACATAGATTAAATTGAAAATATTTTCCAGTTCAGTAAAAGTATATATTACCTTTTTTTTTTCTTATTACCACCTCTTCCCACAAAGAGGCTGAGGTGTCTTAAAGTAGCCTCTTTAAGTTTAGGGAGTCTGCAAGGAGGAAATGTGAGAAAGAAAATAGTTATTTATTCATTAATGTTATACGAATGTGGAAGACAGATTAGACATAACGTCTACAGATTAGACATAAAGTCTAATTAGACAGATTAGACATAAAGTCTACACTTCCACTCAAGAGTAGATGATTCAGCCTCCCCTCCAACCCCCAACTGCCTATGAGTCCCTGTCTACCTGCTTCCAATAACATAAAAGACAGCAGCACTCTCTTCTGTGTACCAGATAAAGGAAAAGGTTGCCATTAGAATCGAATCTTGTTCCCTTACCCACCACACTAATAAGTATGGCCTCAACTGTGCTAAATTTTTACTGATACTATCTCAGAACAACACATTCAGAATCACGATCAAGTAAAACTGCCTGAGTAACACATAGATAGACTAAGAGTACCTCAGTTTCAAAAACTCTTAAGCCAACTGATGATTTACTCCTATATAACAAGGGAATAGCAGTAGTTTGAGGCACCAGAAAATATAAACATTAATTTATTCAACAAATACTTCTTGAGTCCCTGCAAGGTCTCAGACTAGGCACTGTTCTAGGCACTGAGGATATGGTGCTGCACAAAAAGAGTTCCTACTCTTGGGAACTTAATTCTTAGTGGGAAGAGGCAAAATAAACATGTTTGCGAGTTGTATGGAGCTAGGAAAGGAACATGATAGCAAACGACTGGAGGGGAACAAACTTAGGGAGGTTTGTCTTCAAAAATGTGAGATGAGCGCACCTGAGGCCTAAGAATGAAAAGGAACCAGCCATGGGGAAAAGGTAGTGATGAACATTTTGGCAGAGAGCACAAAAAATACAAAGGTTCTGCAGCAAGAATGGGTTCAACCTGTTTCAGGAAGAAAAAGGAGGCTAGCAGTGCTGAGTACTCTCTTGGGTACTTGAGATATGGTTAGAAAGATAGAAGCAACCAGAGTATACAGGACCTTGTAAATCATAGGAAGGAGGTTAGAGTAAGTGTGTAGGAGCTGCTACTGCAGGGGTTTAAAATCCAGTTTATGACTTTAGAAGATTACTCTGGCTTCTCTGTGAAGAAGGGATTATAAAAGAGTAAGAATGGAAACAGAAACCACTTGGGAAGCAACCATGTATTTCAAGTGAGAGCTGATGGTGGCTAACTAGGGTTATTTTGGAGCCATAGCTAATAGGACTTCTAATAAGAGTAAAGGAAAGAAAAACTGGTTGACTCCCAGTTTATTTTTGCTTTGATCAACTAAATAGAAGTCATTTCCTGACAGAAATACCAGGGAAAACACAGGTTTGAAGAGGAAAATCAAGCATATTAAGTTTGGATATATTGTTTGATTTGCCTGTGTAGATATCTGAGTAGATGTAGAAATTCTGAGTAGAATATATGGGGAAAGTCCAGGATTGGAGAGTGAAATTTGGGAGGCATCAGCTCACACATAGAATTTGAAGTAATGGAATGGATGAGTTTACCTAGAAAGAATGTGTATACACAGAAGGGGATCTAGAACTAAGACTCAACAACACTAACAGGTCTTGATGTGAAGGATCCAGCAAAGAGGAATGAGAAAGAACAGTAGTAAGACAAGAGAAGAAAATGTCCCCAAAAGGAGGGGGAGGTCAACTATGTTGAATGTTGCTGAAAATTTAAGTGTCCATTAGATTTGTCAACAAGAACATCTTGACAAGAGCATTTTCAATGGAGTTTTGTGAGTGAAACCCTGAATGGAATGGGCTCAAAAAAGAGTAGAGAGGAAGTAGTAAAGCAAGTATAGACAACAACTGTTTTGCTGAGATAGGGAGCAGAGAAATTATGATTGGGAGGTGGGAAAATTGGTTTTCTTTTTCTTTTTTTGAGATGAAAGATTAGAGAATTTTGTATGCTAATGAAAATAATCTAAGAGAGATGGTGAAATGAAGCACCTACTATGTTTCAGGTGCTAAGAATACAGTAACAACAATACATGTACAGTCCTTGCTCCTAAGGAACCATCAAGTAAATAAGTTATTACAGATTGTGGTAAGTGCTTTTAAGGAATCAAACTTTTACCTTCAAAATAAAATTAATTGACTTAAAATCCTCAATTCGAATTGCTTTAGAAGTATACCAGAGAAGGTCCCTTACATAATGGCACACTTTTATAACAAATATTCTTTTAGCAAATATTTTTCAAACACTTCATATGCTTAATATATCTCTGGCAGCTGTGCAAGAACATAGAAACACAATGATGAACAAGATGCAGTTCCTGCACTCAGAGCTTACAGTCTAGGGAGAAAAATACAGAATTTGGCAGGCAATTATAGTACATTATGATAGTGCTATGATGTGGACAAGTGCAGGATGATGTGGGAATACAAGGGAAGACAACTAACCTTTTCGGGGAATTAAGGAGCATTTTCTGAAGGACAGAATAAATAGGGATTGTGGACAGGAAAAGTTTATTTCAGGCAGATGGAACAACGCATGTAGGGGAGGCAAGAAAGAATATAAAAATTCAGTGACCTATAATATAATCTAGTGGTAAAACAGACTCTATCCAGAAGACATTGGAGAGCTATTGAGGGATTTTAAGCAGAAGACATGATCAGATAAGCATTGTTCTAAAGCTCCTTCTGGGTGCATTGTGGGAAATTAACTATACTGT